TTTAACCACTAAGCCATCTCTCTAGCCCCAACATCAGTTTCTAAATAGTACTGGGGTTTTATGTACTAATACAAGTTCCACTTCATAATACATTTTTCACCATCATTTTGTTCTTACTTATTGGTTTGTATATGTGTGCGCATGCTTGTGCCATGACACATTTAGAGATTAGAGACCTTGCAAGGGTCTTTCTCTTTCCACCATGTCAGTCCCAGGAATAGAACTCAGGTCATCAGGCTGGGTGGCAAGCACCTTTGCTGTCTCAAGACCCAGCATGTCTCCCCCATCATGTTTTTCTTTCATTTTTATTTACCATTTATTTTTATGTGTATGGGTGTTTTGTCTGCATGTATTTCATGCCTGGTACCCACAGAAGACAGAAAATGGCATCAGATTCCCTGGTACTCCAGTTACAGATAGCTGTGATCCACCATGTAGGTGCTCAGAATCAAACCCAGGTCTTCTGGAATAGCAGCCAGTGACCTTAACTACTGAGCTAGCTCTCCAGCCATTGTTTGGTTCGGTTTTCGGTTTTGTTTGCTTGCTTGCTTTTTGGTTTTTTTTTTTTAATAGTCAACTTGACACAAGCTACAATCATCTGGGAAAAGGAGCCTTTATGATGTTGCCAAGTCTGTAGGAAATTTTCTTGATGAATGCTTGTTGTGAAAAGGCCCAGCACACTATGGGTGGTGGTACTTCTTGGGCTGGTGGTCCTGGCTTATATAAGAAAGCAGGCTGAGCTGGATGACGGTGGCACATGCCTTTAATCCTAGCACCTTGGAGGCAGGTGGATTTCTGTGAGTTGGAGGACAGGCTGCTTTACAAATTGAATTCCAGGACAAGCTTCAAAGCTACACAGAGAAACCCTGTCAAAGGAAGGAAGGAAGGGAGAGAAGGAGAGAGGGAAGGAGTGAGGGAGGGAGAGAGAGAGGGAGGAAGGGATGAAGGAAGCGAGGAAGGAAAAGGAAGGAAAGGAAAGAAAGTAGGCTGAACAAACCATCGGAAACAAACCAGTAAGCAGCACCTGTCCATGGCCTCTGCATCAACTCCTGCCTCCACGTTCCTGCCCTGTGTGAGCTCCTGCCCTGACTTCCTTTCATGAAGGACTATAAACTATAAGGTTAAATAATCCACTTCTTTCCTGAGTTGCTTTTGGTCATGGTGTTTTATCACAGCAGTAACAAACTAAGATGCCTCCCCGGGGATCCTCTGTGTATTCTTACAAATGGATTTTTTGTATAGAAAAGTTTAGACGCCATCTCGTTGAGATGTTGCCTAGAATTTATTGAATATGCCCATGAATTTGTCAGTGAGAGCTACTGCAGCCTCTGTTTATTTACCCCTTCTCCTCGGGCATGAATCAAACTCTTACCTCCACCTGGGAAAGAGCCTGTGGCCCAGTTGTCCAATCCAGAGGGCTCTTCACTGTTGCCATCAAGAACTTACTAAACTGAAACCTAAGTGACCTCTCATTCCGTTAAGGACTGCATTCTGTGATGTGGCTCTAGCTTACCTCACACATACCAAATAGTCTGAACTCAACACGGTTCTTGGAGTTAAACCAGCGCTTTTATTTACATTCCCAGCTGCTCAGCGCAGTTCTTTGGTAGGCTACCACTGCTTTCTGCCTTCCCTTGCTTCTTACAGAAACAGCTGCCTAAAGAGCCCCTCCTTGGTCTTCTCTGTGTTCATACTACTTGGAGCCTATTCTCTTTGACACTGCCTTTGGGAGGTACTTTCTGCCCAAGCCACACTCTTCCATTCCCTGCCCACGTCCGAGGCCTGTTTCCAAACTTAAATTGATCACATCAGCCCCTAATTGGTTACTTGTCAAACCATCATCAGCAAATCACTGCTTAGGTCTGTTTTCTTCCTAGAATAAACCTGGACTATGACCTGGGAGTAAGGATTCTTTCAGCTAAAATTTCACACATTAGCTTTACCTGTTTTGCTGTGTTTTGTTTCAAAGCTAATGACTGACAATTTTTAAAGTTACCTCCCACGACTTCTAAATCACTGTTTGTCCCAGCTAATTGGTCTAATTAATGTCTATGCCACACTGACTTTTCCATCTAGGGAGATCCATGACCTTTGAGAGCCCTCTGAGACTACCTTCTAATTCAAAGGCAGTTCTGCTTGGTAACACCCCACTAAACTTATGGTAATTCTTAGAAACTAAGCGTGTGTCTATATGTGTGTATTTTTAATTCTGCCTATAAGCAATTTACATTTCCCATTCACAAATGCTCTACACAAAAAAGAACAAGACAATTATTTTATTGGCTAACATTTTGTTTGTGGCACTTGGGGTGGAGCCCAGTGCCTCTCATAAGCTAGGCAAATGGTCTATCAGTGAGTCATGTGATTTGTACTCTTAAGTGTAACTTTAGTAAGAACAAGACCATAATTATTTGCCAGGTGGTGGTGGCTCACACCTTTAATCCCAGCACTCAACGAAAGAGGCAGGTGGATCTCTGTGAGTTCGAGGCCATCCTGGTCTACAGAGCAAGTTCCAGGACAGCCAGGGGTATACAGAGAGACTCTGTGTCACCCCCTGCCTCCTCCCCCGCCAAAAAATCCATAATTTTCAAGACTTGAAAATACTCAAGGATCAAGATCAGCCATCATTTCAGACAAAAGCCTTAGGACGAGTGACCTACCCTGAGGAACCTAGCCCCTTGAGAGATGCCAGTTACTGCCTGCATATTAACTACATTAAGTAAAGCACCAGTGAACCACTAAATACAATAAACTTGTATTATTATTTTTGTTTTGTTTTGATTTTTCAGGACATGGTTTCTGTGTAGCCCTGGCTGTCATAGAACCAGCACTGTAGACCAGGCTGGCCTCAAACTCACAGAGATCCTCGTCTTCGTGCTGGAAATAAAGGCATGTACTACCTATGGGCTATACTCTTTTTTGGTTTTTGAGACAGGTTTTCTCTGGACAGCTTTGGAACCTGTCCTGGCACTCACTCTGTAGACCAGGCTGGCCTCGAACTCAGAGATCTGACTGCTGGTATTAAAGGCATGCGCCACCAAAGTGGACATTTAGTGGTATTCAGAGTTATAACAAAAAAGCTTTAATCCTCATTTTTGCTGATCTGCTTTATTAGAAGGGAGGGAGACCTTTGCTTTGTTGCCACATCAAACTTAACTACAATTATGCACCAACAAAGTAGACAGCACAGGAAATATCTAGTGATTTTATGTTTGTCTAATTGCCTCAAACATCAATCACATGAAAAAAATCATACATACTTAATACAGAATTTACTACTGTGCATCTCTTTTAAGATTTCATATCAACCCTCCCAAGGAGAACATAAACCACACATCATGGGGAGTAGGGCCAATGTTATCACTTATTTCCCCTTGTGGTGGGTGAAACAGCTTAGCTAACTAGCCCAAAGCTGAAGTATTATTCAGTAAAAATTTTTCTTACTTAATTGAACCTGTTGTGAGAGAAAAAATAAAAGGGTTTCAAAATTGGGAAGTTCCAAGACACCAAGACTGCCACATAGTGATACCATCCTTTCTGATGAGAACTCAGTGTTCATGTTGGTAGAAGGTAAAAACCAACACATGTCTACTTTTTCCGTTTGCCAAAGGCAGGGTAGTCTTAACACTAACATAGGAAACAGAATGAGAAAGTAGGGTAAGATGTGCCTAGAGTCCTTTCAATTTGGGGAATTTCAAACTTAAAATAGATAACTGGTTTTTTATAACCATAGTTCTTTGGGCCAGTGCCATCTGCACTTAAAGGGGTTATGAAAAGCAAACCCTTGGCCCCATCTGATAGTCAGGTCTCTGGAGAAGGGGGTGGCACTGTTTTAACAAGTGAAAGAACTAAAACTCTTCAATTCATGTGACCTGCTTCCTTATGCAGATGCAAACCTAAAGTCCAGCTATTTTCATGTTTTCCTTCAGGATATCCCTAAAAAGTTTACTTTAGGCTCAATGGGGAAGGGCACTTGCCACCAAGCCTGAGAACTGGAGATCTATGTCCACAATCCACAAAGTGGGAAGGACCAACTCTCTCATTGTCCTCAAAACTCTACATGCCTGCTGAATAGACACTTGTTCACAAACACACATGCACATGGGCGCACACACACACACACACACACGCACGCACGCACGCACGCACTCACACAGAATAAATGTAAGGTTTTAAAATGTTGGAGGTCCAGGAGTGGTGGCGCATGCCTTTAATCCCAGAACTCTGGAGAAAGAGGCAGGCAGATCTCTGTGAGTTCAATGCCAGCCTGGTCTACTGGGTGAGTTCCAGGCCAGCAAAGCCTACATACTTAAGAAAGAAAAACAAACAAAATTGTTTGGGGAAATTTAAAAAAATTTCCTAGCATTGCTAATTACGAAAGAAAAAAGGAGAGCCCATTTTTTCCAGATCTATACATCTGCTTTATTTTGCAAATTTAAGGTCCATTTACATTTAGTTCACCAAACAGCCAAAATATGTCATTATTTCAAATATATTTTATAATGTATCATTGAAAAATTACACTCCAAATGTGCTAATAGCAATAACTAGCTAAAGACTGTTGCCAACAGAGGTCCTGCGGTTTACAGATGGATACCGTGCAATTTTTCTCCTATCATACTAACCAAAATTGCATCGTGATCCACCCGATAACAGCAAAACAGGTCACTTCATAATTACAGTCTAGCAACTTAGAACTTTCAGAGACTAAAAGATGATTTCAAAGCCGCTTTTCTTCCACAGGCCGGGACAAGTGCAATACCTTTTATCTAATGCAAGTAATGGCACCAATCCCCGCCCGGGGATGAATGGGCATGGATGCTGAAGATGTTCATAAAGGAGTCCACAAAGATGCAGAAAGGTACACATAATCACAATCAGTTTCGCAAGGATTTGCACAGCCATATACTCACATATACGCTGAAATGCAAATCTGCAAAACTAACTGTAAGCAGCAATGTCCTTGTATAGTATTTTTATCAACAAGAAATGTGTTGATCCAAGAGTACTGGAAGTGCTCACAGTGCAGTAGAATGATGCAAAACTACCTGCACTATGAGCACTTTGGTACTACCAGGATCTAATCTTGCCCTTCTGTACACAGTCCCCACCACTTGTTACTGGCTAAAACATTGAAAGAGCAAACGACAAGCCTTTGAAATTTGTCCTGTTGAAATCATTTCTCAAGATATGCTTTTCAAACGCTGGATAATAAGTAGCCTGTGCGAGAAGGGGCATTTAGGGCAGTAGAGTCTAAGCTGCTTCACTAACTGCACTAGATGCACCTTAACACAAGAGACACATTAGAAGGAGCAACTCAAAAACATCAACAACTTAATTATGCAGAAACAACCACCATGGTGCTCACTAGCTACTGATGAAATCACCATGGTAATGTAAGAAGTGCTTGCACTGCAGTAGAACTCAAAAAGCTACCTGCACTGTAAGCACTTTGACATGGCCAAGGCCTATTCCAATAGCATAACTGAGGTCTTCCTTGAGTTCTTTCCCATCTTCTTTTCCAGATCTCTGCAGACTCACCTGAGCAAACACACACATACACATGTAAGAAACAAGTAAACGAACTGAGTTACAATTTCTAAACAAGTTTGCGTTTTGCTCAGAGTGCAAGCTGGGCTGTGTTGTTTCAGCACAATCCTAACAAACATTAATAATCTCAGTTATTTACAGACTTGAACTTGAATAAAAATGGCAATTTCAGATTATCTGAATGCTAAAGAGGATTTTGGACTCCCTCTCCATTGAAGAGAACTTGATATTTGCATCCCAGAAAATATGCAAACCTGTAACATCCACCCAGATTTTCTTCTTAAAAGTAATTTATTCATTTTTTCTTTGTGTGCATTGGTGTTTTCCTGCATCTATCTCTGTGTGAGTGTGTAAGTTCCCTTGGAAAAGGAGTTACAGACAGTTATGAGCTGCCATGTGGGAGCTGGGGGTTGAACCTAAGTATCAAAGTCTTGAGCTCATCAGAGCTTTGGAGTGCCACACAGAAAGTCACTGTGTTCGATTACATAAAGAGTCCCTGCCCCCAGCCCATTAACAGAAAATGAGAGAAATTTCAGAGCTGCTTTAAGAAGCAGCCTTACACTCTTCACATAATGCACAGATGGCCTAGAGATGCCACATTTTGATCTCTTTCAAAGGGCTCTACTTGTGTTTAAACATTTATGGACCCATTTTCTCCATTAAACCCAAAGAAGTCAGATTA